TTAAATACTTAGTGAATTTGAAGTAAAAAGCAAACATCCCCCCTGCCCCCCACCAACTTAAAGTTAGGGAGAACATTCAACAGGAATATGGAGTTTTGTGGAGTGCCCAGAACCCTGTTGCAGGGGATTTTTGTAAAGCAAAAATGCCAAAGTCACATTGATTGCTTGGCTTTAGTTTTTAGTTTTCTTGTGTGTGTCTTTCTCTCTTCTAATCACTAATAGTTTTTTCTTCTGGCACCACTGTATTTCCATATATGGTCTACTCAGACCTATCAAAGTATTCTCTGATGTCCCATAAAAGGCAAGCCAACAGTTTTAAACTGCTTTAACAATACACTGGCTTTTATAATGAGTTTTACATCCAATGATGTTAGAGACAGTTAAGAATGGAGTTCATTCAGTGCAAGATTTTTTCCCCTTTTTCTTTCTATTTTTCTGTTTTGTTATCTATGTAATAGATTTTTAATTATTTATACATATATACACACACACATCTATATATATATAATGTCATATTTATTAATGCTATTTTTATAAACATTTACAAAATGGTAGCATCCTAGAGACTGATCAGACTGGAAATCTGTTATACCAAGTGCTGTTTTAAACAGTGAGGAATTCTATTTCACTTTGTGGGATTAACTAGCAACTTTCTAGCTGCTCAGGCAGCATTTTGGCGCTTACATGCAGGTTGCAGTTCTATACTATGGACATGTAAACAAGCATAAGGAGACTGAGCATACACATTCTGGGTATACACGTATGTATGCTGGCTGGGTATGTACACAGCTATCTACACACACCAGTTCTGGACATGCCCTGAAAGTGTAGGTGACCAGAAATCCATGACTAATGGGTACTGCACACTGGAAAAGAGTACTGCATTTTAGCCCCAATAGCAGAGTGGTTAGGACACTTGCCCAGAAAGAAGAAAATCCAGGATCTGGGCACTCTTCACCTAGAGTTCTTTAAAATTGCATCTCTCCAGCTTCCCAGCACAGAGCTCTAACTGCTCTACTACAGAGTAGGTATTACTCATCTTCTGTTGAAACTTCAGCCCTGATCATCTTAAGAGGCCCCCCCACATATCTTCATATGTGGGGCCAAGAGAAAAAGACTAACCTTGGGGCACGTGTGACTTGGTGCAATGGCTGCTGTTCTGGGAAGAAGCAGGCCCTAGATTCTAACCTGGACCCTCACTTCTAATGTGGCAGAAGCTTGTAAACTACTCTCCATCCATTTTATCCAATGAATACTAGGTGCTAGGGACAGTGGCTCAGCTTCAAAAGACTTTTGGTTCAGGGACTCAGTGGGCCTGCCTACATAAGACATTTACTCTGGACCTGCCTAATTACCTATCTAGTAAATGTCTCAGTGGGCACTTCTACACAAGATCCTTCATGTGCAGAAGATTAATTCTACTGCACATTAGTATGGCTGGCAAAAATTGTGCTAAAGCACTAATGCATGGTAGATATAGTCTAATGCTCATTAATGTCATGTAAAAAGCGTTCATCTGCACTAATGATCAGTAGTGCCAATTATGGCACATTCAGTACCTGTTATTACTGAATTGTGTCCTGGTAGTCTTATGTAGAGTTTAGATTATGGTTTATATGGGATGGTTTGGATAGGGATGATCTTGCCTCAGGTAGGGGGTTGGACTAGATGACCTCTGGAAGTCTCTTCCAGCTCTACTTCTCTATGTTTCTATGAAGTTAAAGATACACATTCAACCCCGCTTTTGTTGATAGGGTACCTAGAACCTGGATGTCTCATTTCTTGACTACTGGAGCCTAAACATGGTGAGGTGCCCCCCTCCTGCCTCACTTTACCTGGACTCATGGTCAGGTATGTGCATACCTACTCAGCCAATACATGGCTACTGCACATTACCAGGCTACACTCATGCATTTCCATGTCCACAGTTCAGGGCAAAGGCCAAAAATGCCCAGGCATGTGGTTAGAAAACTGTCATTTAGGCACACAAAGGAACGTAGACTTTTACCTGTAGCAAATGACATCTCAAAGAATCACAATTCAATCTAATTTTGAAGCGGACACTGCTGTGCCTCAATAGATTTCATTTTGGGGGAAATTTCATCTTTTATTTAGCCTATATATACCTTTCTTTAATCATTCCTGACATGTTCTATTATAATCTGGATAGATCACTGTCACGGGCTGGGGCCTACGAGCGGCCGTGATCCCACTAGCGCCCCCTTGCAGTGCCAATTGGGAGATGTAGCACCCTCTTTTTCTCACCCGCCACGTCTTTGATCTTATATAATTTTATATGGGAGGCTGCCTTTGATCTCCTGATATCTATGGGTGACTTGGTGCACCCCCAGCCTTATGGGCTATGCATGCCTCCTACCTCCCCTTTAGCACGCCCCAAGCCTCGCAGTTATTCCGGACGTTCTTAGGTCCCTAAGACCTCAGATGATCCTTCGCCCTCTCCGGGCTCGTCCTACCCTCTCTGGGCCCTGTCTCGCACACCCGGTCCTCTCTGGGCTTGTACCTGCGTGATCACCCTCCTTCGGGCTATCAATGGCGCCAGCCCTGTCTCGGGCTTTCACCGGCGCCCGCCCTACTTTGGTTCCCATGCTGGCCCCTGCCCTTCTAGGGTTCCCGGGTGTACTCACCCTCTTCAGGCTGGTCCTACCCTCTCTGGGCCCTGTCTCGCACACCCGGTCCTCTCCGGGCTCGTACCTGCATGATCACACTCCTTCGGGCAATTAATGGCACCAGCCCTGTCTCGGGCCTTCACCGGCGCCCGCCCTACTTTGGGTCCAACGCTGGTCCCTGCCCTTCTCGGGGATCCCTGGTGTACTCGCCCCTTCTCCAAGTGTTACCCACGCTTCCCGCGCCCCAGCACGATTGCCCCGCTATGGGCTCTGTCTCGTGCCCCCAGCACGATTGCCCCGCTATGGGCTCTGTCTCGTGCCCCCAGCACGATTGCCCCGCTATGGGCTCTGTCTCGTGCCCCTGGCACCCGTGGCTCTAATTGAGCCGGATTGCCCCGCTGTGGGCTCTGCCCCGCGCTCTTCGCCACCTGGCCCTGATCCGCACATCCCCCCCTCTCCAGGCTTCACTCGCGCGCCTGCCCCTCTCCGGGACTCTTAACCGCGCGCTCGCCCTTCCCCGGGGCATCTATACAAAACCGGCACCGCTCCAATCTTATGCTAGCCCTCCCCGGGCTTTTGCGAGCTGGCCCTCCCTGGGGCCTATGCCACGCGCTTCTCGCGGTCTTGCCCTCACTGGGGCCTGTGTCCGCGCTAATCATGCCCTTGGCTGTCTCCGAGCCTGTTCCGCGCTACTCGCGCCCTTGGCTCTCTCCGAGCCTGTTCCACGCTACTCACGCCCTTGGCTCTCTCCGAGCCTACATGCCAGCCCTGTCTCAGGCTTTCATCGGAGCCGGGGCTCAGGTGGCACGCAGCCGTGCCTGGCCCCCTGACCCTTCTCGGGGTCCTATGCCCTCACTGGGCCGAGTACTGCCCTCTCGGGCTGGGGTCTCAACCCCACACACCGCACCACACTGGTGCCAAAATGCTGTGCCTTCCAGCACTGCTCTGTGCCCCCAAACAGGGCACCCAGGAACCCCCAGACTACTGGGAAGCTCCCATGAGGCCTCCTTACACCCCTACAGCCTCACCCGATCCTCCAGTTGATATACTCAACAGAATCATAAGCCCACCTGGCTGTAACAAAACAATAGGCCTACTGGCTATACCAAAACAATAAGCCTACCGGCCACAACATAAAGTCCAGGCCCACCTGGCTTTCTGGCCCACAGCCTCCTGATCAGGTTTCTCTTCACCCTGACCATCATGCAGCCCTCTGGGTGCTCAGGCTGCACTGCTTGGCTTAGCTCTCCTGCAGAGCTCCTACCCCTCAGGCTGCCAGAAGAGAACTGCTAGCCAGGCTCTGGCTTGGCTGTTTATAAGGGCCCGGCCCTGCCCCCTTCTGGTCACCTGACCAACCTGGTTACTCCAGCAACCAGCACCTGAGCTGCCCTGGCAATTAGCAAATGCCCTAATCCCTACTCAGGCACGGGGCACCGGAGTGCCCCCCGTGACAATCACATATACATACACACACTAAACACTAAACTATTTATAACTATATAAAATGGAAAGTAATACTAATCTCCGTCCAGAGAGAACCATAGGTGTGTGCAGGGCCTGGGGCAAATCAGTCTGTGCAAGACCCCTTTAATATTGCAAAGGGTGAGGCTGTAGCCACTCCACCTGGCTCCCACCCAGCTCTGTGGGGCCTCCCAAAGTGCAGGGCCTGGGGCAGTTGCCCCGATTAGCGCCCCACAAAGGATGGCCTTGCTTCCCTCAAGGAACCAACTGATCACCTATGTAACAATTTAGGTCATACCATCTGGCATTGGCTGAACTGAAGAAGATGACATTAAAACTATATTCTGTAACAAACCTGGGCTATGACAGCTCATCATTAGACTTAAGATCCACAACCTAGAGATCTCCCCCAACAACAGTTTTCAGATCCTCTAGAATGAACAATTGGGGACTGAGCAAAGATACCTCAACAAATCTCATGCCAACTAATCACTTCAGTCTTTTAAGTCTTAAAGAATACAGCCAAGTTCATTAAATCAAAAAAGAGACCAGTAGCATTTCCATAATCCTCTAGATCTTAAATAATAAAACCTTCCTGGTCTAGGGACAATTAAACATTTCTCAGACTGTGCACAAATCATCTCTTAAAGGTCTTTTTTTAATGGTTGACTGCATGTACTAAGATCTTAAACATTACCTAACAATGGTTGAGGGCAGGTGAAGTAAATAGAAAATAATAAACCAATTGGTAAACGTAATAGCATTTAAGGAAAAAGAGGCAGAGCCTTTTCTTTATTATGGATTGTTCAGTTATTTTTCAGGCTAAAATAGTCAAAAGTGCTCGAAATATTTCTCCATTTCTTACAAAGTATTTTGTATGCTATAACTAATGAGTTTGGTTTGAAATTTCAGGTTTATGTAATTCAGCCGACAGCTGGATGATTGTTCCAAATATCAAGCAAAACCACTACACAGTGCATGGGTTACAGAGTGGCACTAAGTATATCTTTGTTGTCAAGGCCATTAATCAGGCTGGCAGTCGCAACAGTGAGCCTGGCAAGCTAAAGACAAACAGTAAGTAACATAAAATTCAACTCACATGCATTCATGAACATGTTCTGTCTTTTGCCCCTTTTTATTGGCTTTGTGCTTGAAAGGTACAGGGGTTTCAGAGTTAGTTACCTTGTAAAATGCTTTCCACAACGAATGTCATTTTCACTCTGTTCAATCCTCCTAGGCAAGGGACAGACATTCAAAAAACCTGGCCCTGGATTGATTCAATCTTTGCAGGTTAGTCTAACCTGCCTAGGTCGAACAGGTTTGTAACTACACAGACATTCCCTCTGAACTGAACAAATGCAGGCATGTGCCTACAGTGGCTCAGGCTAGAAGCTGGGGCGGAGGGGTGAGAGGGAAGGAGGAACGCTAGAGCAGCCCTTCCTTCCCTTCTATAATGCTGAGCTGAGGGGGTGGGGGCATAGCCAGGCTCCGTCAGGATATTCTGATTAGGGTGGGGTTTAAACGTGCACCGTCCAATGGTTTTCCCTACTCACTGCTCAAGAGGCAGGAGTATTGCTAGGCTCCAGCCCCCAGCTAGCACTCTGAGGCAAAAGGATGTGTGTGTAGTGCATGCATCTGTTGATGATGCTGAGCTTTTCAATCTCCCTCTCCCTGCTTCTCCATACTGTCTGCAAACCTGACAGGAGAGGGAGCCAGCAGTGACTGATAACACAGTGTTTATCAGCGCATCAAGAAAACAAAAGCCTCTCTCATTAGTTCAAGCTCTTCTTGAATAGAATAGAATTCTCAATAAGAAATTATTGAAAACGTTTCTTTTATTCCACTTTTTCATTATTTTTGATCATCTTTTGCTCAGACAAATATTTTTCTTCTGTTTTAATGGGATATTTTGTTTCCTTGTTGATTTGATAGGATGATATGACTTTTTATATTTTATTCTTAAAAAAAGTTGAATGTTGTCCTGCTGCATTTGTCCCTGTTTGAGGAAAGTTGGGTATTTCCAATCTTGAAGGGTGCTATGGGATAGTTGAAGCAGAGGTCCTAATTTTGTGATAACGATTGCACAAAACGTGTAGGAGATGTATTATAGTGCTCTAAGTTAAAAGTTTTCAAGATTTTTTCCATCTGCAGGCTATTGTCCTGACTAGTCAATTCTACTTTTTTTTTTTTTTTTTT